GGATGAACACAGCAGGCCAAGCAGCATCAGAGGCCCGAAACGTCAGCTTTCCTGCTCCTCTGATGCTGCTTGGCCTGCTGTGTTCATCCAGCTCTACACCTGGTTACCACAGGAAGCAGTTGAATTGAATGGTATAAATGCATTTAGTGGAAAACTAGACATCATTTGAGAGAGAAAAGAGAGTACCTTCTCACAATGGTAGACTTAGATGAGAAAATGGGAAAGAAAGTGCAACCAGAGCATATAACAAATAAAAACAGAAAGAACTATGGATGCTGTAAATCAGGAACAAAAACAAAGTTGCTGGAAAAGCTGAGCAGGTCTGGCAGCATCTGTAATAGAAAAAACAGTTGTTTCAGGTCCGGTGACCCTTCCTCAGAACTGCTGAGCTTTTCCAGCAACTTTGTCTTTGTTCCAGAGCATATAACAGACCGTTTGGGCTGAATAGCCTGTTTCTATGCCATGCATACATTTTCCATTTTCAACTCTAACCCAGCTATCCTGTGGTAAGCCATGAAGCCTCTAGCACTACTCATTTCTGAGGTAAGTAAGTAACAGATATTAACTCCTTCAATGGGTTGACTGAATGAACTTATTGAGCAAAAGGAGACTGGAAATATGCTTAATAAACCGGATTTTCCTCTACCATTACATTTCTGGTCAGTGGCCCATTCTTGTAAAGAACTCTAGTATTCATAATCATTTTTAAATTAATTTTTACTTACTGTATTTATTTTAAAAGAATGGGGTGCATGTGAAAGGGCAGAAAATCTAGAGCCAAACATTTTAAACTTCATTATTTTAAAAAAAATTCAGCATTTATGTTTTCATTACCAAAATGAATAACCTCATAGTTCCTCATATTATACTCTATTTGCCACTTTGTTGCCCACTCCCTTATATTGATGAAAGCAAAGTATTGTGGATGCTGGAAGTCTGAAACAAACACAGATAATGCTGGAGAAACACAGGATGTTTGGCAACATCTTCAGAAAAAGAAGCAGAGTTAATATTTCGAGTCCAAAATGACTCTTTTTTGGTTAAAGTCTATGCCCTTAATTGGTCTACATCGCTTTGCAGTCTGTGTTCTTCCCAAACAGCTTCTCATGCCCATTTAGCTTTGTGCCATTGCATCAGTTTACAGATTACTCTCAGTCTTTTAGACTAACTTGTTAACACTGACTGTAGCTAGCAGAGGTCCCAGTATTGATCCTGGTCATACTTCACTAATCAATTTCAAAGTGCCATATTTGCCCGGTATCTGTTAACCAATCTTCTATTCATGCTAATATATACCACCTCCAACCTGTGTACTTAACTTGAGTAATAATCTTGAGCGCAACTTTATCAAATGCCTTCTGGAAACTTAAGGTATGCAACTACATCTACTGGTTTCATCTATCCTAATGTTTACATTTTCTAAAAATTTAATAATTTTTAAAAAGTATAATAAAAATCTGATAAATTTGGCAAACACAATTTTCCTTTTATAAAACCATACAGACTTTGTTTGATCATGCTGGTGATTTTCTAAGTGTACTCTGAAGACCTCCTAAATAGTCCAGCACTTTCCTGATGACTGATGTCAGGTTAACTGGGCTGTGATTCTGTGTTTTCTTTATTGAATACTGATGCTAAATTTACTAACAAATCTAGCTGTCTCTGCAGATACTTCTTTTTGAACACTAGGTCCTGGGTTTTTTTGGATTTGCTCAGTGTTTCTACCATTCATTCATGAATGGATTCTCCTGTCTCTGCCTCTAAAGGACCAACATTTACTTTAATTACTACTTACCATTAGAAATTAAAGTCAAATATGATTTATTTGGAAAACCGATAGAACTATGGATGCTGAAAAAGCTCAGCCGGTCTGGCAGCATCTGTGGAGAGAAATCAGAGTTAACGTTTCGGTTCCAGTGACCCTTCCTCAGGACTGGAACGGATTGTTAATTCTGAATTCAGCATGTTAATCCTGTTTATCCTGCGACAAATGTTGCCAGACCTGCTTAATATTTTCAGTCCAGTCTGCTCTTACTTGCTTTAGTTACTAGCTCCTTTTAATATACTTGTAAGAGATCTTACAATCTCTTTTTATAATCTTGGTTAGTTGACCCAGTTCTATCAATTTTTGGGTCTCCCTTTGCTGGCTTCTAAAATACTTCCAAGTCTTGTAGCTTACAAGCACTATTTCAACATTAAAAGCCCATTCTTTATCTAATGCTATTGTTAACATCCTTGCAACTCCAATCTTTTTTGCCGCGTTTTTCTTTTCTTAACAGTATATATTTTTGCCAAATATTTTGATTTTTTTAAAAATGTTTTTCCCATTGCTTAATACTATACCTTTGAGACTATTTACCTAAATATTTTAGATAAAAGGTTACTACTTAACACAATCTCAATACTAGACATAAAATAGCTTTACCCATAGTTGGTTCCAAGTTGAAGAATATTTTGAATATTGAAGAACATTGAGCTGAAGTTCATGGAGGGTAAAACATGCAAGGCTGCCTAGCTGAGTATTAAAATATTCATGAAGAGAGAATCATTTCAGGTCGATGACCTTTCATCAGAACTTCCATCCCGGTGCATGTTTTTCTCCAAGTCGCACACCATCCTGACTTGAAGCTGTATCTTTTCCTTACTTGTGTTATGGACCAGACCAAACCCCCATCAAAATATATTAGAAAAAAATATATATATTTATATATTAAGATAGCATAGACCCTAACTTTTTCTTATTTTAAAAGTGTAAGATGTAGTGTTCCAGATGCAATTCGATTGGTCAACTACTTGACTTTAAGCAAAACACACTTCATTTTTACACTACAGTTAAAATACGGACAAAATAAAAAGAATTGGCTTAACTAACTCTGTCAAAATGCTTAAGAAAACTAAACTACTACAAATTAACTGTTCCAATATAGTAATATCCCATAAACACACCCGTGGCAAAGGCAAATTCAGTAAAATAAATTGTCTTACATGCAATTCTAGCAGCAAGCAGAAAACTCCAGCTTTTAGCTGTAACAGAGAGGAATGAGAGCTTCCATATCAAGCTTCAAGACCAGAGCAACTGCTGAAAGCTAAAACTAAAAATCCTGGTTCTGTGGGAGCTTGACTGCAGCCATTCAGGCTGCTTCAATTGCTCCAACTTTAAAAAACCCAAGGCCTCACAAGCGGTTTATTGGCTTTGAGCAGACCTCTCACACCTCTATCTCATTAAAAAAAAACTAGAACAAAATACACCTCTTAAAGCTATAGTATCATCATACTTGACAGTCAAAATTTTGCAACTTCCTCATAACAGCACTGTGTGTACACCTGCAGCAGCAATTTAAGAAGACACCTTACAAGGATGAGTTATAATTTTAATCGAGTGCTGGAGAGTAACATTAGAGAACTTGTTTTTAAAATTTGAAACACTTGTTATTATGTAAAAATGTCTGCTTTGTAAATTACTGCCAGCACTCAAATTAAGCATTTGAGACTGAAGAAAGAAAATTCAGATTCACCTAAATTTAGCACAATGTTCCAAATACGTCTTTCCAGTTGTTCACCTTTTCGGCTTTAACTAAACCTGAGCGCCAATAATGCGAGCTGCAGAAAGGATACATAATTTAGTTCAACCCATAAAATATAATTTGCTTAATTTGCATGCTCTTCTACAGCTGAGAAGTATTTTTTAAAATCTAAATTAGCTTCTTTGTAGTATCCAAAAAAGATAGTTGAGATGAAGGTCATCAAAGTTTAAACAGCTTTTTTGCTAACCTACCACTTCTAATACTCCACACACACACATACACACACACACACACAAAAAATCACATTGCTCTGGGCTTTTGAGACATACCGAGAAGGCAATCCAGTAAGTAAGTTTTTACTCAAGTTCACAGTAGTGACGGGAACTCCATCACAGGCATCAAATACTTCATCAGGAACAATGGTGGCTTTCCTGTCACTAGACAAAGTAAAACAAAATGTTTAAAATACTTTGGAATTTAAGTTGTAAGGAAAACTTCTAAATCTACTTATTAAATATATAAAGTAATTGTCTACCAAATCAACTTCATGTACATGATTCTTTAACTTAAGAGGTAAAGTTTTCTATTGCAGCAGCCAATCTATCAAAACACATGAATTATGTTCCCAAACACCAAAGATTTATTAAGAATGACTAAAGGGTGTAAAGTGATTGTATAACTCAGAAGACTAGTGAACAGTGAAGACACGAGGCATCTCCAGGTGCCATTTCTCTTTGTTTGAAGTTGCATCAAGTGTAGTACAACTCAGCACTTTAACTATTACACTGATCTTTTATTTCAAATAAAAACTCGTATTTGCGATTTGTTTTTGAGGAGTATTGGTGCAGCCATTTGCCTATTGTCTGAATTTGTTCAAAGTTTGCAAACTTGTTGCTCAACATTTTCTGAATGTCCTTAGGTGCTTTGAAAGCCTACAGTGTTCACTGAAAGTTCTTATTAGTACACATCTCAGGATTTGGAAAATGTTGATGAATTTTATTTTCTGCAACAGTACAGGTCATTAGTGGGTTCACATTTATCTATGCATTGAGATCCAACCTCAGCTACACAATTGCCAGAGGAGACATTCCATCAGATGAATACATTCACAATAAGCTCTGATTATCTCTAGTCCATGGTTACTTCAAAAATAGTGCTGTGGAGGTGATGGCATAGTGGTATTGTTGTTGGACTAATAATCCACAGTAGATGGTGGACTTTGAAGTCAGCAATAAAATCTGGAATTAAAAGTTTAATGATTTTTTTAAAAATGCGATTGTTATAAAAACCCATCTGGTTCACTAATGTCATTAACGGTCACGATTTCATTGTTCTTCAGCATATTGGAGAAGTCTTATGGTATCAGGTCAAAAATGGGCCAGGAAATCGCCTGCTAATAACCACAAACTTTCCTTGCCCCTCTTCCCCTACCTCAGGTAATGAATCAGTATTTGTCCATGTTGAGCACCATTTGGAGGAAGCCCTGAGGGTGGCATGGTATGGAATTTAAGACTAGCCTAGCTCTGCAGCACGTGGTGAAGGAATCAACAAGAGGGAAAAACATACCTGACTTCATCCTCACCAATATACCCGTCACAGATGCATCTGTCCATGACAGTAGGAATGACCACTGCACTGTCTTTGAGGGCATCTTCAGTGTGAAGGTGGAACTTCACTTTCATAATCATATCAAGTAACACTATCACTGTGCTGAACAGGACAGACTTCGAATAGATTTAGCAACTTAAGGTTGACTATTAACGGTAGTAGAATATCTTCAAACATAATTTGTAACTTCATGGCCTGGCACATGCCCCACTACCAGTGTACCATTACCATTCAAGCCAGGAGATCAACCCTTGTTCAGCAAAGAATGCAACAGAAGCAGAGGCATACCCAGAAATGAGCAGTCAACCTGGTGAAGCTACAACATAAGATCATTTGCATGCCAAATGGCATAAGCAGGAAGTGATAAGTGCTCTGCAATCCTGCCACATTCAGCTGAGCAGTGGTGGAAAATTAAACAACTCACTGAAAGAGGTAGTTCCAAAATACCTCCATCCTCAATCACTGCAGAACCAGCACATCATTTAAAAAAAAGGCTGAAGCATATGCTCCAGTCTTCAGCCAAAGTGCCAAGCTGGTGATGCATCTCAGCCTCCTCCAGTTATCCCCAGCATCGTAGATGGAAGTTTTCAGTCTACACCATGATATCAAGAGATGGCTGAAGGCACATAGGTTATGGGCCTTGACAACATTTCAGCGATAGCACTGAAGACAACATAGGACTGAACACTGAAGGAGACAGAAACTAAGGTAAAGAAGAAAAAAAGTGTGCTTACAGCAAGTGTCAGGTAGAAAATAAAATTGAGAACCAAGAGGAATTACAAAGTTTCAGGGTGAAGGCGAAAAATCTAAGAACAGCAGCAAAAAGAATTTAAGAAAATACTGGCAGCCAACATAAAGAGGTGTTCCAAAATCTTTGGCCATATAAATAGCAAAAGGGTGGTTAAAAAGAGTGGGGTCATTTCATGATAAAAAGGAGGATTTACACCTGGGGGCAGGGGGTATGAATGAGGTGCTAAATGAATACCTTGCATCTGCTTTTACCAAAAGAGGTACCAGCAAGGCCATGGTGACAGAAGAGGGAACTCAGTCACTAGAAGGGTTCAAAAATCGATAGAGATGATGATGGATAGATTATTAGTACTTAAAGCTGACAAGGCACTGGGACTGAAATGCATCCAAGGATTTTGAAGGAAGAGAAAATGGAATTTGCAGGTGCACTGGACACAATCTTTCAGCCTTCCCTAGACTCTGAGGCGGTGCCAGAAGACTTTAAAATTGCAAACATTATGGCCTGGTTCAAGAAGGTTAAAGATAAACCAAGTAATTACAGATCAGCCAGTCTAAGTTTAGTGGGTGGGGAAACTTTTAGAGACAATTATTTAGGACAGGATTAGTAATTAATGCAAAAGGTGGGTTGATTAGAAACAGTCAGTCAGCATGGATTTCTGATGGGGAAATCATATTTAACTAATTTGCTGGAGTTTTTTGAAGAGGTAAAAGAAAGGCTCAATGACGGAACCATTATTGACATGGTGAACATGTACCTATAGAAGCTGTTTAAAACAGTGTCATACAGACTTATGAAGAAAGTTACAGGTCATGGAAATAAAAGTGTCAGCAGCAATATGGGAACAAAATTGGCTGAGTGATAGGAAACAGAGTAATGGTCAATGGACAGTTTTCAGGCTGGAGTAAGGTTTGAAGTGGCATTTCTCAGGGGTCAATAATAGGACACTTGATTTTCCTGATATACTTTAATGATCTAGATAGAGTCATAGAGATGTTTAGCACAGAAACAGACCCTTCGGTCCAATTCGTCCATGCTGACCAGATATCCTAAATAAATCTAGTCCCATTTGCGAGCATTTGCTCCATTTTCCTCTAAACCCTTCTTATTCATACATCCATCCAGTTGCCTTTTAAATGTTGTAATTGTACCAGCCTCCACCACTTCCTCTAGTAGCTCATTTGATACACACAGCATCCTCTGTGTGAAAAAGGTGCCCTTAGGTCCCTTTTAAATTTTTGCCCTCTCACCTTAAACCTATGCCCACTAGTTTTGGACTCCCCTACCCCGGGAAAACAACCTTGTCTATTTACCCTATCCATGCCCCTCATGATTTTATAAACTTCTATAAGGTCACCTTTTAGCCTCTGTGCTCGAGGGAAAATACCCCCAGCCTATTCAGCCTCTCGCTGTAGCTCAAAACCTCCAACCCTGGCAACATCCTTGTAAATCTTATCTGAATCCTTTCAAGTTTTGCAACATCCTTCCTACAGCAGGGAGATCAGAACTGCATGCAATATTCCAACAGTGGCCTAACTAATGTCCTGTATAGCCTCAACATGACCTCCCAACCCCGATATTCAATGCACTGACCAATAAAGGCAACCATGCCAAACACCTTCTTCACTACCCTATCTACCTGTGACTCCACTTTCAAGGAACCAAGAACCTGCACTCTAAGGTGTCTTTGTTCAGCAACACTCCCCAGGACCTTACCACTAAGTGTTTAATTTCAGCCCTGATTTGCTTTTCCAAAATGCAGCACCTCACATGTATCTAAATTAAACTCCATTTGCCACTCTTCTGCCCATTGGCCCATCTCATCAAGATCCTGCTGTACTCCGAGATAACCTTCTTCGCTATCCGCTACAACTCCAACTTTGGTGTCATCTGCAAACTTACTAACCATATCTCCTATGTTCATATCCAAATCGTTTATATAAACAATGAAAAGCAGTGAACCCAGCACTTGGTGCACAGGGGACAACTTCAAAATTTGCAGATGACACAAACTTAGAAGAACTGTAAACTGTGAGAAGGACAATGGAGAATGACAGAGACAAGTTGGGTTGGGCAGACAGGTGGCACAAGTGTGAGGTGACATTTTGGTAGGAAGAACATTGAAAGACAATACAAAATAAGGGTACAATTCTGAGGGAGTTGTAAGAGCAGAGGGCCCTGGGCATATATGTGCACAGATAGTTGGCAGGACAGGTAGAGAGGGCATCAAGTAAGGCAAATAGTATCCTTGTCTTTATTAATAAGGGCATAGTGAACTAGAGCAAGGAATGATGTTCAACTGGTATACAACATTTAAAAGGCATCTGGATGGATATATGAATAGGAAGAGTTTCGAGGGATATGAGCCAAATGCTGGCAAACGGGACTAGATTTATTTGGTTGGCATGGATGAGTTGGACCGAAGGGTTTGTTTCCGTGCTGTACATCTCTATGACTCTATGACTTTTGTTAGATCTTAGCTGGAATAGCATGAGCAGTTCTGGGTGTCATATTATAGGGAGTATGTGAATGCATTGGAGAAGAGCAGAAGTGGTTTGCAAGATTTGCAACGTTCCAGGGATGAGAAATTTCCATTATGTGGATAGATTGATTGTTTTCCTTGGAGAGAAGAAGGCTAAGGGGAAATCCAATAGAGGTTTACGAAATCATGAGTGGGCTAGATAGGGAGAAACTATTCTCATAAAAACGAACAAAAACAAGGAGGGCATAGAGTTAAAGTTATCTGCAAAAGAAGCAAAGCTGAAGTGAGGAAAAAGCCTTTTCACTCAACAAGTGGTTAGGGTATTAACGCACTGGCCAGAAATGTGGTGGAGGAAGGTTCAATTGATGCATTCGAGAGGGCATTGAATGATTACTTGGATAAAAATAATAAGTAATGATACAGGGAAAAAGCAGGAGTTTGGTACTAGGTAATGATAGTCATTTAATGAGCCAGTACAGTACACCACAGAAACATAGAATAAACAGGCACTTCTGCCAGTCATTGTGGAGAATTATTGCAGAAATTCCAGAAACAAATTTTTAAATATTTGGATTGACTTCAAGGATTCCTGATGATCCAGTACATGATTACTATCTTTAATATTTTTACTAATATTTTGTGATAAAAATTAGGATAATTTGTGGTCGATACAGATAACATATATTAAAGTCCAACCAGTTGCAGTGAATGCATTCTCAGAGACAATCGCAGTAAGGGATTTTTGCAAATGGCAAAAAATGGCCAACTGCACACATATAGTACATGACACATGTGCAATGTGTACATCTGCGGACAGATAACTGAAGAGTGAACATTGGAGTCACTGTCAGCAAAAAGGTGTACAGTAAGCATTGCATTGATAGATGAATTTACAAAGATAGGCGTGCAAACAGTGGGACTTTGTTATATACATCATATTTAGTAGACATCTGTGTGCAGTATAAACTTTTTTTTTATTGATTGTGGCATGAATTTCAACATTAGGAGTGTATTTTTATTACATTGTTTCTCACACCAGGCATCCTCATGGCCTGAGTTACTACAGGATGCATGCTTTGGTAACAAAAAGACAATATGTTAATCCACTGAGCCACTACAATGCCCTTTGAATTATGTTAGTAAATGAAAACAATGCAATTCCAAATTTCAAAAGCTTAAGTTCCATATTAAATTTGAACAAGTGCAGTTCTAATGAGTGGATATCTGAACAAAATTCTAAGATATAAATACTACTGTAACCACTTGAGTCCAGGAACCTATTTTTCTGGAAACAACGGTTGTTTGGAAAACTTTTGAGCAGTCTCAAGCATCTCATGGATTGCCACAGAAGATCAAGAAAATATGCACTCAGTAGAGAAAATGACCATTTACCTCATTTGTGCTTTAGAGCACAGTATTTTTGGGAGTAGAATTTTAGAGCAAACAGAGCAGATATCAAGTACAGTACCAAAACATTAAAAGTCAGCTCAAAAATTGTATTCGCAGAATAGAAACACAGAAGGTACATATTTGAATATGTAAATCCAATTTTATTACTGCTTTATGTTTTTTGGTAAACCTTAATATCGATGATGTATTCCAGTTCACAAGCTTGTGCTTAGGCATTCTAACATCATTCCATAAGCCAACAAGTTCTGAAGTTTCATGGACTGAAACAATTACACAACATACTATACTTGCTCTGAAGCTTTTCATGCAAATAGTATAATAGTTTGAAACAATACAGCAATGCTGTATTGATCAATTAAACAAATTAATGTGCTTTTTTCTGCTGAGACCAGCTGTTAACTGGCCTAACAAAAGATGCACAGCGTTAGTAGAACAAACCAATGAAGAAGATTAAAAATATAAAACTACAATATTGCCAAATGTTGGTCAATTCAAAATTGCTCAATGAAATACCTGTATTCTAACAGTTTCTGTGTTCCTAAGGCATATGTATTGATCATAGATTCACTGGGAAGAGTCATAGCTGTTGTTGAATCACTTTTATCTTGGCCAGTTGTTTCTTCTAGACAAAAGAAAATAGCAGATCAAAGTTTCTTTTTTGTGCCACAAGTACATTTGAATGAAAAATTAGTTTGCCTCTTTTCACATGTTTTTGAGCTATATCTGCTCTTCATCACTTTCAAATCAAATCATCAAGTCACTCAAAACTGGACTTCATCACAAACATATAGAATACAGAAGTAAAATACTAATAGTCTTAAGCATAATTTTACCTGTAAAGTTTTGGTATGCTAGTGTGTTATACCTCTTCAAAGCCAACATTTGTTTGGTGGGATGCACAGACTCTAACACTTTCTCAGCATTAAGAACATATTGCAATTTATCCTCATTAGATTAAAAGTGGATTAGATTACCTTTCGCCCACTGAAGTTTATCTGTTATAGTTTTTACCACTGACTTAATTTATATCTTTTTGTTGCTGTCTGCTCCTATCTACACAATTTACTATATTTCCTAACTTAGTGTCATCTGTTAACTTGATTACAAAACTCCTACTCCTTCATTCAGATTATTATTGTATAATGGCAAAAAGTTTAATACCCAGTACTGATCACTGAACCACATTAATCCTCACATCACACCAATTAGTCTTCCACATTCTGGTACTGTGGAAGTTTAGAGATGTACAGTCAGCCACTTAGGCCACTCTGGTTACGCAGATGTAACAGAGGCAAAAATTTCATGCCAGTTTATATTTTAATTGGCAATAATTTACATACCTGCAACACTTTAGAAGTGCAATCCAGGAAAAAGAATATCAGGACTGACTTTAGCAGTCCAGTGGAAATTGCTGAGGAGTCACTGAACAAGTTACACAGGGCCTCCATCAATCAATGCCCAAAAACACTTTGCTCAAGCAAACCCAAGCATGCCTAATTCAGCTCTGACCAGGACAGAGGTAGGTGAAGATGATGGTCATTAAACAATTTTACCGGTTTCATCATCCTGTGATTGAGGAGTATAAGTTACAATGGGAGAGACAAATTGCAGCTGCTAACTATGCTGAGTGTAGTAAAGTCAGGCAGACAGAAAAAATTTACTCCAAACCTCAAAAACTAAATTTAAAGAAGCAGAATTATTCAACGAGCAAACAAAGAACTGAATTTTACATTCCTCGTGACGGGCTGAATTCTGGTCATTAAACAGGTGGCCAGGGCAGACCGCTAAGGAGATTTGAAAATGAGAAATCCTGTCCAATTATGGGTGGCAGGTGAGCTCCTCAGCCTGGCAGGTGCACCCGAGGCTTTGGGCAGCTGACAGGCATCCCAGGAGAGTGGGTGTTGCCACTGTAGGTGGGATACCTAAAGGGCACCTCTGAAGGCTTAAAAATGCTTCAAAATATAATGTGGCCACAGCTGTCAAGGTTATCATTCTACCACTGTCATTTTAATAGCCATTTCAGCAAAACAGAGTTTTGGTTTTGTACCTTGTATTCTGCTTCTTAAGTACTTGAGAAGTTCTTGAGTTCCTCTCTGGGGGGAGAAAGAAATCATAAAAAGATCAACAAAGGAGCACCAAACAGAAAACAAAAATTTGAAGATCACCATTTTAAAATACTTTGGATGAGGTCACTTTTGAATACTAGCTATAACCAGCAAATATAGAAAAACTTTGCAAGGTCTGGCAAAATGAATCAGTTGGTCTGAAAACAGACCATTCAGTGATAAGGGAAAAAGGACACCATAAATAAAAAACTTGCATTTATATAACACCTTTCATAACCCCAAAACATGAAGTATTTTGAAGTGCAATCAATAATATTAACAGGGAAAATGAACAGTAGGAAACATGACAAATGGGAGCTCTCCACATGGTAGATTTTGTTTTCCAGGGAAAGTATAAAGTTTCACCTGTTCAGCCTGGAGAAACACATAAGTGCTATGCCAATGAATGAAATTGCATGGCTGAATATTATTGGGTCATATTAGCGTATGCTAGCTGTAACTAGAAAATATAGCAAACTCACTAAGGTCTGGTCATTTGTGCAAGAAGAGGCCTTAGAGGAACTTCTCATACTTTCAGATGCTTCAAGGCAAATAAAAAGAAAATAACTGCAGAAAAAGGCCATTCTTAAATAAAACACTATTTAAATGCCTGATACTTGCGCCTTTGGCTGCACCTAAACCTTTTCGCTAAGTGTGCATACTCTCAAATTTAACCATTACTAATATCCCACAGAGCACAATGATTTTCACAGAACTGTTTTTCTTGGAGAGGTTAAGAAGAGATTTGATATAGGTGTTAAAAGTTAGTGGTTTAAGCAAAGTAGAAACAGAAAACTTGTCCCACTGGCAGGAGATTAGACTGGATATGGATACAAGGTGAATGCAAAAGAACCAACAAAGGTAAAAGGAAAACTTTTTTCTTTAAACATTGCGGTTAGAATCTAAAATACACCTTCTGAGTGTATTGTGGAGGTAAAACCATTATGGTTTTCAACAGATAACTGGATAAGCACCTGAAGTGAAAACAAAATTGAAGAACAACTGCAGGGCAAAGAAGGGAGTGGGGCCAGCTAATTTGCTTTTATATAAAGCCAGCGCAGAAACAACCAAATGGCCTCCTCCTGCGCTGCAACCATTTTATGATTTTATGAAATATGATCGTTTGGTTCTTTATTGGTCTTACTGAGTGATTTATCAATCATACATGAGCAGATCTGTTTAAGGCTTCAACCATATTATTTTGCAACCAACACCTACGAAATGCCAAGTATCTTTTGATATTGACTGCCAACTGCCAATGAAAACATCAAGTTGGAAAGTTAAAGTTAAGGGATTTAACAAGTTATTAGCAGAAAACAATGCAGACTGAATGTAAGCATTACAAAACACATTAAAAATCTTTTACTATTAAATTGAAATCAGCTAATATATAGTGCATAACAGAAAACTGTATTACTCACATTAATAATATCCCTGCGAATAGAACGGAGTGGATTACCCTCCAGCAACAGAGACATCAACTTAGGAAGATTTCCCAGACCATAAGGCAAGCTACAAGGAAGTGACAAAGAGACTTAGGAAAGAACAAGTAGTATTCCAGAAACGTACACACTTGAAATAATTTCAGGATTTTTTTTTGCACAAATGTAAAGAGCTTTATCACGTTTGTTCGTAAACTTTTAGTCAAGGGAGAGCTATTGCACACAGCAAGAAATCATGAAAAACAGCTTTTGTATGCAGATACAAAGAAAAAAGTAATAAAAAAAGGTATAGGTTTCATAAATAACAGCTTGAGGTATCATATTAATAAAGGACAAGGACATAGCAGAAATATTACATTAATATTTACTTAATGCTTCAGAATAGAGAAATAGGAACACTAAAGGTACAGGGAAGGCAATGACGATAAAGTGTAACGAATAAAGTAGTTGGATTGGAACTGGACAAATATAGAGATGCAGGAACAACTTCTTCAGACAAACAATTGAGAGTTGATTACATTGCTGCAGCAAACAACAGCAGTAAAGGCAAGTTGGATAATTAAATTGGAAGATTTATTTTACCTGGAAAGGAAGAGAAATAAGATATAAAAAATATCAGTAAATTGGGATTTAAAAGAGTTGCAATGACTGCACAAATAGCAGAGAAGACTCTACTGGTTAGATGATTTACTCTTGGCCATATACATTAATATTCTATTTTGCACACAGTATCTTTTATAACCTTTTAAACGTGGTTGGAAATATTCTGACAAATCCGAACTTTAAAATGTAATTTTTCTGTCATTAACTAGTGTATTCTACAGGCTGCGTTATTACATGACCTAATTTCATATCAGATCTATGCAACCGATACAGGGACTGGGCTATCTTCAATCCCAAATATCAAAAGTGACAATAGAGAACACCAAGTCATTACACCCCAGAATTTTCATTTTCTCCTTTAGTGCTAACAAATGATCGTCAACCTGGTGCAGTTTCCCCTTAAAAGTTTTCCCCTTGTGAATAGAAGGGAAGTGGCATTCAGATACATTGTGGATAATTGTAACAACCCTACAACCTATTATTTTACACACTTAGAGCAGTACATTCTAGGGCCAACCAAAGTGCATAACATGCTATACGAGACAAGGATTAATCAATTACCTTACAGTAAAGAGGTCTCTGGGTGACAGTGATCATAACATAATAGAATTTCATATTCAGTTTGAAGGGAATGATAGTGGGTCTAAGTTTTAAAGCTGAATAAAGGTATTCATATAGGTACAACAGCTAGCCGAAGTAAACATGGAAATTAGATTTAAAAAGTAGGATGCCAGAGTTGCAGTAGGAAATATTTAATAACTTTCAGCAAAGATTTACCTTTAGTGAGAGAGAAAGACTCCTGTGAAGGATGTATCATCAATGGCATAATAAGGAAATGAAGGACAGAATCAAAGTGAAACAAACATTACACAAGTCCACAAAGACTGGTGATACATCAGAAGATTGCTCAGATATTAAGAAGCAACACAGAATGATATACAAAAAGGGGAGTGTTAAGGACAAAACTAAACTAACTACATTCATGTGTCAGAATACATATTTATATTTGACGACTATGAGGAACCGGACAATCAAACTGTTTGAACATTCTTGGGTTAAAAACAGTTTATCAAGCTTTTGAAGGGACGTGTACTTTCTTGGAATTGTTCAACAGGAATGTGAGCTATAACTCATTTACTAACTACCAAAAAGCGAAATAACTTCAGAAAGGAGACAAGCAAAGCTTTTATGACAGATAAGAGATGAGGTTTATTGCTTTAATTGCTGGACAAAATTGGTTTGGAAGAAATGGAGGGGAAGAAGAGATACAGCCTACGTGCTGAAGGTTGCCTTCTTCTGAAGTTGGTTTCTCTTTGTGCAGCAGACATCCGAGTGTGTAAGTAGAAAGAAAAGACCTCCACAGCTTGCAGTAAAAGCAAGACTCTCTCTAACATCTGAAAAAAGTAGAAAAAACCCTAAAACAGCAACAACTCAGATGATCTCTTGGTCAGTGAAGTATTTCCAGTAACCTGAGGAAGTTCCAAATACCAGTCTCTCACTAGCATCTAAACCTTGAAAGGTGAACTGTTACTTCAATTCAAAAACCTAGCTCTAACTGACTTTTCATCTGACTTGAAGTCTAGCATGAAAGATTTCCCATCAATTTTACAGCTGCTGGCAACTAAATCTCATTAACAGGAAACTCATGGAATAGTGAGCAGTATTGGTATTTTCCTTTTCAGATGGGACCCTTGGCCCCAGATATCCAGCCCACCTTCCACCTTTTGTTTAAAGAAACCATATAATCCCTACAGAGCTATACTGGCTTGTTTGTCAGGTGCGTGTATTTGTTTGAGATTAAGGGGTTATTGTTACCTCCAGATTATAGTTTAGCTGTTAACCAATTTCATCATTTGTTAAATAATAACTTTCATTTACAATAAATTAGTTATCTTGAGTGTAAAGAAATGTGATGAAAGTCTCTTTTGTTCTTAATAGCAGTCATAAAGGGAAACAATTTTGTCAATTTGGTAACTAAATTAAAACACTGACGCTAATGGTACAGCTCAGTGGGTTTTGATTACCAGCATATACCTCCCATCAGATTCACAACATATGGCCTTAATGAATGATAGAGCAAGTTCAAACAGCCAAATGACCTGATCTTGCTCCTAAATCCTATGTTACGCCTTGATGCATACAAAAGAATATTGTTCTTAAACAATGCACAAATTTTTATATCCCAATTAGAAACATCCACATTATTTTGTTTGACTGATTTATTGTAGTCACATGTACCCAAGTATAGTGAAAAGCTTTGTTCTGTGAGCAGTATATGCAGATCATAGGTACTTAGAGACAGCGAAGCATACAGGTTAGAACAGGAGGTGCGCAAAGCAAGGTAATTTAAGTTTAGAAGTGCCGAACAGTTACAAGAAATGTTAGAATAAGATCTGCTGTCGGGATCTCGCAAAGAGTCACTGAGTGTCAGGACTGTCTTGAATTTTTGAATTGAAGTAGATGACAGTGAAATAAGTCTTTAAGAATGTGTACTACAATAAAAAAAACTAACATTTTGTCATGTACCTGCTAATGTCATTATTTGTGAGGTCAAGTCGTTCTAAGTCTTGAAGCATAAGAATTTCATCTGGTAGTGATTTCAATTTGTTGTCGCGGAGCTCCAGCACAGTGACAGCACTTAGATTTTTCAGGTGCTCTGAGCCCAGATACTCAATCTGGTTATTTCCTACATGTAGTTCCTAAAATGGAGTAGTAACACAACAGTAGAACTAAATATATTTATAATATTTTTGTAATATGAAAAATTACAAGTAACACTGACATGCATTATGACATTTCAATTCATTTATGTCATTCTGTTTAATCACCATATTGATTTGCAAGTCTATTCTACATTTCAGCATAAATATCATCCAAATAAGCTGCAGCATTTAAAGATTTTCCTGACACAACATCCTATTTTTTTAAAAAAATTACATTCTACTAAGTGAGATTAGAGTTCTAATAAAGATATTTAAAAATGATTGTCAAAAACTTCATCATCTTCTTCCCAAGGCTGTTGTTGAAAGAGTTAGGATTTTTTTTCAAAAAACATAACCCAATTCATTATATAATTTACGAATTTTACAGTAATAACAATAATGAAACATGGGGCAAAAACATGCTACATTCTACCAACACCACTTAAAAGAGAGATACAAACACAAATGCCTCCTCAATATTGGGATACAATAATATAGACTCAGAGTCATAGAGATGTACAGCATGGAAACAGACCCTTCCATCCCACTTGTCCAAGGTGACCAGATATCCTAAATTAATCTAGTCCCATTTACCAGCATTTGGCCCATATTCCCCTAAACCCTGCCTATTCATATACCCATTCAGATGCCTTTTAAATGTTGTAATTGTACCAGCCTCCACCACCTCCTCTGGCAGCTCATTCCATACACACACCACACTCCGCGTGAAAAAGTTCCCCTTACATCCCTTTTAAATCTTTCTCCTCTCACCTTAAACCTATGACCTCTAGTTTTAGACTCCCCTACCCTGGGGAAAAGACCTAGACTATTCAACGTATCCATGCTCCACAAGATTTTATAAATTTCTATAAGGTTGCCCCTCAACATCTGTCGCTCCAGGGAAAATAGCCCCAATCTATTCAGCTTTCCGTATAGCTCAAACCATTCAGCCCTGCCAGCGTCGTTGTAAATCTTTTCTGAAATCTTTCAAGTTTCAGAACATCCTTCCTGTAGCAGGGAGACAGAATTGAACGCAGTGGTCCAAAAGTGGCCTAATCAATGTCCTGTACAGCCGCAACATGGCCTCTCAACTCCTATACTCAATGCACTGACTAATAAAGGCAGGCATACCAAACGCCTTCTTCACTGCCCTGTCTAGCTGCGACTCCATTTTCAAGGAGCTATGAACCTGCACTCCAAGGTCCCTTGGTTTGGCAACACCCACCCAGGACCTTAATATTAAGTGAATGAGCCCTGCCCTGTTTTGCTCTGACAAAATGCAGCACCTCACAATTATCTAAACTGAACTCCATTTGCCACTCCTCAGCTTATCTGATCAAGGTCCCATCGTACTCTAACGTAACCTTCTTTGCTGCCAATTACATCACTAATTTTGGTATCATCTGCAAACTTACTAATGGTAACTCCTTTAATCTCATTTAAAACATTTATATAAATGACAAAAAGCAGTGGACCAGCACTGATCCTTACAGCACACCGCTGGCCACAGGGCTGCGGTCCAAAAAGGAACCTTCTACCACCACCCTTTGTCTCCTATCTTTGAGCCAATTTTGTATCCAAATGTCTAGCTCTTGTTGTATTTCACATGATCTAACCTTGCTAACCAGTCCATCATGAGAACCTTGTCGAACACCTTACTGAAGTCCATGTAGACAACATCCACCACTCTACCTTCAATCTTCTTCATCACTTCTTCAAAAAGAAAACTCAGTCAAGTTGGTGAGACACAATTTCCCACACACAAAGCCACGTTAACTAGCCTAATCAATCCTTGCCTTATGACAAAGATCAAAATTAAATCTTGTTAAAACAAACAGGGAACAGTTTTATTTAATTCTTCATCTACCTCAATAAAAGAAATGAACAAAAAAGAATTTTTTTCAAAGAAAACCTGCATTGTAACCTGCTGCACTTTTTAATGTCCTTAACTTGGTGTCCTTCAGTGACCTAACAGACATACCAATAACTAATTTTTCTAAAAGCCCTTGATGCTGATAGAATGTAGCTTGGGATGATAATATTAATCAAAAACTTTCCTTCATATAATTTTATATTTTAAATGAGCACTTAAATACCACCAAATGGTACTAAGGTACAAAGTATCTACCTATTTTGTGGTCATTAGTAGAACTCATTTTTCTTTACTTTTCAACTAGTTTTCTTCATTTTGGATTTTAAGAAAAATAGCATCAACATTTCATAAAAAGTACCTCCAAATTCAAAATCAGCTTGTACAGGTCACATTCAAAATAAACATTTGAGATATTTAGGCCACTATTTCATCAAAAATATAAAATAATATATTGTGTATGGCACCAAAACAATGACCAGACACACTGGTTCAAAAAGGGAAATAAACAGGAACATTCAAAAATTCACTTTCATTTCTAGGCCATCTTGTTATCAATCATGACAAGCTAGGACACCGTGTGCAATAACTATTAGCATGGTTTTACTACATTTTCTTCCTAGTCCCATGTGATGTGTCCATACAAATTTATCAGGGATACTGGCTACATTCTAATCACATACAAAACAAACAGATAAGAAAAAATAAGCTTCAATAAGCAGTTGTTTAAATGCCACATATTCTGGGGAACCGCCATGGCAAGTGCTGGAAATTCCAGTTTTTGTTGAATTCAAATAAGAATACCGATGACTGTCAATGAACCCATTGTCAGTCATTGGAAAAATACATTTGAATCATTAATGTCCTTCAGTGAAGGAAATTTGCCATCCTCACCTGTCTAGCCTACATGTGATTCCAGAGCCACAGCAATGTGGCTCACTCAAAACGGTCCTTTGAAACAGCCTAGCAAGCTACTCAGTTGTATCAATCACTACGAAGTCTCAACAAAGAAATGAAACTAAATGGACCACTTGGCAATGACCTAGGCACCAGAGAAAACGGCAGACATTGGATTGTGACCCTGCAAAGTCTTCCTTAATAACATCTGGGGTGAGTGCCAAAATTAGGACAGCTGTCTCATAGACTAGTAAAGCAACAGCCTGCCATGGTCATACTCACAGAAACACACTTTACAATGTCCCAGACACCACCATCACCATCCCTGGACATGTCCTTCCCACCAGCAGGGCAGACCCAGCCAACTGGTTTGCCGAGGAATCCCATGTTGCTGTGGAAACACATTTTTTCAAATATGCTATATCCTGGGATTATGAATTGCGACAGTAGAGGCTCCAATTCCAATCTATCACATGGCTGAGCAGGAATCTCTCCCACTTTTACAGCCCATCAGTGGGATGTGTTTACAGGAGTTACAAGTTGATATTCAATTTTTTTGGGACACAAAATGTTTAGATTTTCCTTGGCCATCAAATTGTGAAGTGGGGCTTCAAACTGGAGCTCTGGCTTAGAGGCAAGGATATTGCATTTTCTAGTTCGTTATCAGGTCCCCACAGGGGACACTTTAACTACCCAAGAAGCAGTGGCTCTGGGCAGCTGTAGACTCCTGCCCTGACTGCCTAGTAATAGCAGCAGGCGCAAGTCTCCCTGTGGAAGCATTACAGCTTGCTCATCTCTCCCACCACCTGCTTAGTGATGGCCCAGCTATGAAGGGTATTTTATAGAGTAAACAGTTAAAAGTTTGGAGAGGGGCTACCTCCATCTTTTCTATTTTGTTCCATGTCACCCAGTTGTTGCTTTGGAGCTGCATGACCTCATTTGTCATCCAGCTCAGAGTTCCACTTGGCATCTTTTACTGGATACTGCACCCATTATCTAGCTACATCTAGAAAAACTACAAGTAATTGGTTCCACCGTGCTCAGGTTCTGATCCACCTTTAAGCTCGATGGAAGAGCTTAAGAGTCCAGCAGTGAAAATCCTGTCCTTAATGTCCAAGCTCAGTTTGTTTTAGAATAGCAACAGTCAACTGAAGAGAAGACCTATTTACTTTCATATTTTTAGAAACTGATTAATTCTGTTTTGTCACAGCAGAAATGTGCATACACATTGCAAATATGAATTACACATTCACAACCCACTGTTAGCAACAGGAACACAGAACTTCACAATATCATAAATCCTCCAATGGAGGAGGCTTGAACATGAATCCTTAATACACTGGAGCAAATTGCTGACACTTATCTACAGTCATGACACACCCTCTCCAATTAGCTATCCAGAACCAATTAAAAAAAAGTGTTATCATCGATTAGATTTTCTTATGCTTTAACAGTACCTTTAAATATTTACAGGATGGTAACTGTGGTAGATGGTGAAGTTTATTATGCCTCAAGTAAAGTTGTTGTAATGACACCATATTTGCTAACTCCGAAGGAACACCTTCAAGTTCATTATGACTTGCATCCAACAATTTTAAACCTAAATAAAATGAGATAAATTACAAAGAAAATTAATTTACAATATTTGTTTCATACTGTAAACTTCATACAAAAAACTTAGATACACAAATAATGCAATCAGAATCTTTTCAACTTAAATTGTGTCATCTGCTTTTTCCTTCTTCCTCTCTTTCCCATACCTAGGTTTCATACTATATCTTTGTTGGGAACACAGTTATGTTTTAAAGCCTTCATAAGGGAGGACGGAAGATACGGAATGATTTGGACAATTTTTGGGTTGCAGAAGGTTTAGCTTGTGACTTCTTTAAATTAAAGAGTCACAAATTGAAGTGTATTTTAATTCACCCTTTTATATAAAAACAGTTGGCTTTTTGTAAAGAATGCAAGACAAAGCTTTAGCGAGATAACAGATTAATTTTATAGCTTTAATGCCTTGACAAACTTGGAAGAGATGGGCCCTAAGCTGAAAGTTGTTCAGCAATAACCTTTGAACAAAATTTGCTGTTTCAGTACGTGCCTAGATGCATCAGTTAAAGGAAAAATATCTTCAAGTAGTGAGCAACAAAAAGATCTCTCTTGAAAAGAAGAAACCTTATAGCAAGACTAACTGCACAGATCTCTTTCAGTAAAGTATCTTCTGGGAACCTGAAAAAATTCTAGAAATCTGCATCTCTACTACTCCTTTTCAAAGATTCGAGTCTAAATGACTCTCTTCTAAACTGAAGACTGATCTAAAGAGCTCTCACTGATTTACAGCTGGCAGCATTATGGTCTCAATGACTGAAAATTGACTGGATTGTGAGTAGTCTTTTTTTTAATTGAATCCTTTGGAGTTTGGATCCATCGTGTAAAACGCAGAGCTCATCTCTGCAGAGTTGTACAGTCTTCTGTGTCACGTGATTGCATGGCTTGGGATTAAGGAGGTATAGTTTAACTCCACACAATAGTTTAGTCATTAACCAGTTTTGCCACTCACTCTCAGAATAAGTTCGTTTATAATAAACAAGTTATATTTTAAGTTAACAAGGTGTAGAGCTGGATGAACACAGCAGGCCG